AGTCAGGAATGGTTTTTGCATTCACGGACTAGTAGTCGCAACAGAGCCTCTAGTCAACAGCTTTCTTGGAAGAAAAGGTCAAGCGGACATAGGCAGCAGTGAGACCAACATGCCAACATACAAGATGCCCACCTTTCCACCTTGGTGAGCAGTGAGACAATGGTTTTATTATTCCAACATCCAACGCGTTCAAACTCTGTCCCAGCAACTTGGAGCCCATCATGAGCAAGTAGCCATGGGAAAGCAAGAACAGGTAGACCAGCGGAAATGATGTAATGTCAGACATCACATTGTGCCAGTTTTGTTCAGCCAAGTGGTTGCTTGACACTTAGCATTCACAAAGAACCGCATAAAAATGGTCAGCGGCAACTGTAGGAGATCATGTCCAAAATAATAGAGAATGACAAAACGCACAAATGTAATAGTGATTAGCAGGCTTTGCTGTTCAACGTCAACCAGCGATACATGGTGGATTGAAAACTCAGCACCATTGAGGATCGAATGTTCATCAGTGACAAGCAAACTCAACACACTGCATGACATAAGCCAACATTCTGAGTGAGCAACTGGGATTTGAATACAGAGACCTTGCTCCCATTGAAAGTTGGAAGGTAGATGCAGCCGGAATGATGTTGACCTCTACACCAGTGTCCATCAGGTACTGCTGGCATGCGGTTATGTTCATGATGTGAGATAGACAACGCTCTTGTTGAACTTAGCCAGTCGTTGCCGTGAAAGATCAGCCTGCTTGTTTCTTTGCGGCGCATGCAGTAGTGTGCTAGACCAGGAGCACTGTTCTTGAGCATACTGCAGAGTGCTTGAATTTCTGGGAGTAAAGACACTCCAGAGGACAGACTAGTTGTTCCAAGTGAATGCAAAGTGAATGCAAAGAAGGCCACATTAACACTGAGAATACTTTGGTGTAAACCTTGATAATGAAAAATTACTACAGTAAAAATCATTAATTTGGCAGCCATTATTTCAGTAAATTAAATGACTGACGATTTCTCTGGTTCTAGCATGTATATGTATTATTTAAAGGTATCAAACACTCATTTCAAAACATAATTTAGCTGCGAATCAAAACACACAGGAAAGAGAGGAACACGAAGAAGGCACGATCAGTCGTCCCGTTTTCGTGTTCCTTCCTTTTGTGCATGTTTTGATTCGTGGCTAAATTATGTCTTCAAACAAATACCAACTAGGCGTGCATACAGTCTTGTTCAAACACTCTTTATTTGGTCGTTTTGGCTAAAACACTGTTATATTGACCAAAGCACGTCAATCAACGCCACAAACGAAAGACTGAAAACTATGTTTGTGAAAAACTGAAATAGCCCTAGGTCCTCAGAAAAGCATGGCAACCATCTGCCATCTCCTTCCAATCATATTGTTGGCAACCAAGACTTCGCAAGTTGCAGCAAACTTGTTTCATTGTCGATTTTACTCAGGGCACGTGAATCGCATGGGATCTATTTGTGATCACATCAACAGCAATCGGGGTCAAAGCTGCAAGAACCAGCACTTTCGTCTTTTGATACATGCCTACAGAGCTGTGTAGTCACCATTTGACATCATGCACTAGGGATCAAGGTTTATTCAGTCGCAGATGTGGTGCGCAGCAGTTTCGTTTCAACTCTGGACGTGGGCCACTCACGTGCCTTTAGAACTACATGGAACCTACGATCATGGCTCTAGTGGCCGCAGTTTTGTCCACAGTAAATGCAGCCCTCTGCAGCTTCGTTCTGACTTTGGGCAATACGCACGCAATGGTGGAAGCTGCTGAAGATTAAGAGCTTTAGCTGCTGTCTGCACGCTCACTTGCTCTACATTGTTATGAATGAACACGTTGCTGGGAATTTTTTCAGAGAATAAATTACTGTTATATATGCATTGTGATATTGGCGGCAGTGCTACATAAGAAGTAGGCTTGTGAATATTTTTGCATGCTTGGAACATTAAAAAAAAATAGTACAGTATTTCAATTCGCTTCGAGACAAATTTAAATTATTGCAAATAAATAAATCAACAGGTAAAATACCTATTTGAATGTAGTATATTATACTAATTTGCATGTAACCACTTGTAAAGGTGGGTTTGCTGCAGTGAAGGAGTGATTGATTTGTGGAGTTTAACGTCCCAAAACCACCATTTGATTATGAGAGACGCCGTAGTGGAGGGCTCCGGAAATTTCGACCACCTGGGGTTCTTTAACGTGCACCCAAATCTGAGTACACGGGCCTACAACATTTCCGCCTCCATCGGAAATGCAGCCGCCGCAGCCGGGAATCGAACCCGCGACCCGCGGGTCAGTGAAGGAGTGCTAAGCCATGAAAACTCAAATGCAAAAAAAAAATCTGCACAGCAGCAAAGCCCCACTTGAGGCATAGATGAACGTATATTACCTTCACATTAATTCTGCAAGTGTAAAAGCTTGTTATACCATCTTATATGCTTTAAGTATAGTAAATTTAAAAATGTAACCAATTTTACAAGTTCTCACTTGCGTTCTACCGAAAGTCAAATCCTGCTACTAGTCAAAGTTGTTTACACTTCCTTAGAAGCAAAAGGAATATAATTTGTGCAGCCCTTGTTTCAATTATTATTTTTTTTTCAAATGCTGTCAGGTTAGTTATCGCATAATAAATACGTATTTACCCGAATCTAGGCCGACCAGGATTCTAAGTTGACCCCCGAAAAGCCTGTAGCCCACAAAAAAAAAAAAACTTACCTTGAATGTAGGCTGAAAAGAACAGCGAAGAAAAAAATAACATTTTTTGAACTTGGAGATGAAACAAAGCAGTTTGTTCATGATCCAAATAACTCGAGAAACATACAGCTGCAAGTCCTGTTACGTGTGTTTCTTTGCAGTCATTTTTTTCGCGCTGCTTCTAGTTTCATCATAAAGATGCCGTGCTTCCCGATGCCCCCCTCATTCCAAGTTGTCATCGCTGCTTCTCTCTTCGGTGACTTCTCTGACCCTGTCTTCAAACTGTGCACAATCTTTGGTGCCATGAAACAAACACATTGGATCGATATGCTGGCACTTTTTTAAAGAGCGCACAAGTTCCCGATTTGTCCCACACTGCAGCCCCTCCAGCAACACTCCACTCCAAAGTTCTTCCCAGCTTGAATGTTGGACGAAGAATTGGTGGCAAAGACAATGCTCCTTTAACAAGTGGCACTATAATGACATTGCCTGTTTGGCCCCACTGAGCTACACCGCATACAGACAACTCGAGGCATGACTCATAACGACGAACGCTCGCCTCAACACTCGCCACAATGATAAAAATAGAGCCCTCACGTGTGTACTTACGCAAGGTTTTGGCTTGACTACCAACAGCAGTAATGCCGTCTAGGTGGCGCTTGTAGTGCACCACTTTTCCTAATGAAAAATGAGGCGTCTTTCAAAATCCTCAAATTCAAGCCGACCTTGGAGTTTGATGCAAAGAAACTTGAAAAAAACTATCGGCCTAAATTCGAATAAATACGGTATGTCTATTTTTCTTTATAATATGTGACATATACTGTTTGAATTCGATTCCAAATTATTTGATCAAAATCACCATTAGCTTCGAACCTAAAATTCACTATTCGCACAAGCCTAATAGTAAAAGCTCACTAACCTGGAACTCACGGGACCAGTGAACATGCCCAAGTTAACCAAATTCCGAATTATCAAATGAACCATCAGAACAAAAGGAAAATGTACTGGGCACAGACAAACCTTTCTTTCATGAAAAACTCGTCATCAGAATTAGTGCAAGAACGATCTTCTTTAACCCCATGTGGTGGTGGTGTGCATGCTCACTGTCGCGATGAACTGATGCAAAACTCCGCAAGGGCAGCTACAGCTTCGGCGGCCTCCTGCACGCGTGATGTCGCTTCGGCTAATCTTGAATGTCATCATCGGAAAAGTGATTGTCATTCTCTTCAAGCACTTCCGATAATATATCATCATCAATCAGCAAGCCAGTAACATCCACATCATTATCAACGCACACAAACACAGCCTGGAAAGGTAACGACGGCTTCTATGTCAAAGCGCCAACTCAACCAAGAGTCAACTCTTCTGATATACCCGAGATGCACACACTATGCCCGAAGTCACAACACAAAAAAATCCGCAGCGTAGGCGTCGCGGGCCACTGGGGTCGTTGCGGCAGCGCAAACTGTCCTGTGCGGTACCTTTCGCAGACACTGGGTGCACCGGCGGCCCAAGCGCTTCCGCCGAGTGGTGACCAGCGCCACCTGGCCGTTTCCCCCCTCATTTACTATCATCGTGATCATATTCTGCTGCTGTTTGTTCGGTTTCTCCAAAACTTCGTTTTGCCACTGTCGGTTACGGCGGGGGAGCCGCGACTTCATCCTTTCGGTAACCGGAATAGGTTACTGAAAGCATGAAGCCTCGATAGCCCTCTCTGAAATCGTCCGAGTTAACCGGTGTGCATCTCAATCCCTCAGAATTAATCAGCATTTGACAGCATTGAAATATACACAGTTTTGCCGGGACTGTGCCACGTGTGCGAGTTAACCGAATATCTGAGTTAACGAGATTCGGATAAACAAGCTTTTCCTATAATAAGGAATGAGTTCAGGGCACTTTTTGGCTTAAGATGAGGGGGTTCAAGTAGTGGTCACATTATGAACAAGTCGTGAATGACAAAATTTGCAGCTTTTACACTGCTGCTATGCAAAATAAGCACTATATTTACATATTCACCAAGAAAATAAAACCCCACTGACGTAACAGACCCATAACTGTTTTTTTATACTTCTGATCATCCAGAATTCAGACATTTTCTTCCAACCTGTGGAATCTTGACATACGACCTTTTTACAGTATCATCATAGTTTCAGAGTTGATGCGAGGGGAATAAAATTGCTTCTATGTTGGCTGACACCAATTCGAACTGTCCTTCACATTATCGAAACTTCCCCTACAATGCTAACAATGCCACAAACTATTTCTTGCTTCCAATCAATAAAACACTTGCCTTGGCAAATACCGTGAAGATATCAGCGATGCCACCATTGCTGATCCAGATTTTGCCACCATTGAGAACGTAGTGTTTTCCATCTGGCGAGAGTTCAGCTCGGGTCTTGATAGACTGCACAAAGAGAGCGCTCTCAGTTGTAATTGACATCGCCAGTAGAGCTAGAGAAGACTGACCATGGCGTCTGATCCACTGTCGGGCTCGGTGAGACAGTAGGCAGCCAGCTGCTCGCCAGCTGCCAGGCCAGGCAGGTACCTGCGCTTCTGCTCATCGGTGCCAAACAAGAGGATGCCTTTGAAGCCGATAGACTGAAACAAAAGAAACTAAATGACAGCTATGCAGTGGCACATTTCAAGGCATAAACAATGCTTTTGTGGTGCTAGTAATTATATTGACACCCCAGGGGCGTTTCTCCTACTGAAGTCCCAATCAGCAAGATTGCCCAGTGTTTTGCACGTTCTATGTGCTAATGACATTGTGGAAGCCTGCTGACAGTAGCTGCTCAAGCTGAAATCAAATACATATAAGCCGTAGCCATACTCCACTGGAGCGGTAGCATGGCCAAACGTCAATCTAGTCATGAGCACTGTACTAAGTTCAGGTTGATTGATTGATTGATATGTGGAGTTTAACGTCCCAAAACCACCATATGATTATGAGAGACGCCGTAGTGGAGGGCTCCGGAAATTTAGACCACCTGGGGTTCTTTAACGTGCACCCAAACCTGAGCACACAGGCCTACAACATTTCCGCCTCCATCGGAAATGCAGCCGCCGCAGCCGGGATTCTAACCCGCGACCTGCGGGTCAGCAGCCGAGTACCTTAGCCACTAGACCACCGCGGCGGGGCGTACTAAGTTCAGGTAGCTCATACTTTTGTACATATTGTGCACTCATAGCGATTGGGAAGGCTTCAACTTGGGATGGTTGCTGAAGCGTTCTAATGTTATTGCGTTAGACAAAATGCAGACAAGACAAGTGGTGTGCAAACTTTCAACTGTTTATTTTTGCCAAAACATGTCAAAGATATGCAGTAAAATCTAGTTTTAGTGAACCTCCATATACTGATTTTTTTCAGATTAACAACTTTTTCGAAAAACCCCCTCCAAATGTCAGTGGTTCAATGAAAAAATATATCATTACTACTAATTTCAGAATACCGAGTGTTTTAGAATAAGTAATCAAATTTTATCCCCCTCAAATCTTCAACAATACTTGAGTGATTTTACAATGTTACTTGCGGCTGTAAAAATAATGCCCAGCTCCTTAGCTGCTGCTAACATCATCATCACAACAGCAGCGTATTTCTCTATAGATTTGGTATTTCTCCATCTGCCGACCTATTCAAACGTGCAATAGCACTATTATGATCATAATTGTCTGGAACTTGTTTTTCGCATCAGGCTTCACACCATTGCCTTTCGTTTTTGTTGGGTGGCTTGACCTGCACGCTGGTTTTTAGCCTTTTTGTTGGTAGTTGAACGTTCAAGACGAGCTTTAGAAGCAACACAAAAGGAGTGCTACGACAGTAAAAAATGCAACATGAGTGACCTATGAAATCAAGTCATCGATGATTGCCCGTGCATACTTCACTAACGCCTAAACACTGCGCACAGTGAAACGACGAAGCATGCACGTAATCTTAGCTGACGACTGATAAGATCCATACTATTTATCTTGATAAAAAAGCAGCGACAAGAGTAAAGACAACATTGAAAGAGCTCGCGTGTACCAATGTGAAGGATCGGTGTTTCACGCCGATACATCGCAGTACGCAAGAAGGATGCGCATGCTCAATAGTTCGTCTTTCAGCGGTCGAGCTGCCCACATCAGGATAGATCGTGCTCTTCCTCAAATAAATGTGCATTGGTTCCGCAATATTTCGTGTTTGGTTTCTTACACTTATTTGAGCATAATGCAGTCCTGAATGTATACACAGCACAGGTAAAAGACTCTCGTGTCTGTTTTTACGATTTTACACAAAATTTTTGTACTTTGACTTCAACGACTTTTTAAAATAACGAATGATCTTCAGCGGTTCCTTGACATTCGTTGTATTGAGATTTCACTGTACACAACACATTAATGAAAGCAAGTGAGCATGTGACGACATCACACTTAAGGAAGAAAGTCTACGAATTTATGAGCTTCATTGAGAATTTAGAATTCGAATGGTAAAAAATATACTTAAGTCTCATTACAGTTTATCTGCGAATCTGTGAGCCTGCACAGTTATTATAATGCTGTTTCTTTATTTGTATGAACATCATGTTTACTCTACAATGAGCATATTTTTTGTTCATTTTTTATGTGCTCATACTCTTTGCTCTGTACATATGGTCCCATTTTTTAAAATTCTTGTGTATTAATGTTAAACCCACTTGAGCATGCAGTATTATGAAATAAATTAAAATATGTAGAAGGTCATCTTCAAACCCTCCAGTTTTTCATGTGTTGTGTCAAGTAATCTAGCAGTTAATACAACTAAAGGCTGCCTCCCTGAGAGAAATAAAAGGACAACTCATGTGCTTGAGGGATTTTAACACCAAATATGCCTATATGACCTCACGTGCCCACTCAGAGCTGCAATGTATCAAATTCTGCTTTTTGATTAAACATGGGCTTACATCCACCCGCAGGTGGAACAGGGTATACATGGAGCAGGCAAAAGTGCCATTTGTAGCAGGCTCGCAGCAGCCAGATATGCCTTTTTGAGCAGTCAGGGAAAACATCCAGAGCAGATGTAGCCCATGGCACTGGTGAAACAACATTCCTCCAGTGCTGCGTTTTTTAAACACTAAACTAGATTCTGCTATGACCTCATTATTGCAATAGCAATCATATGACTTAAAGCACTGCACAGGCTCAGGCGTAGGCGTAATCCCAGCTAGGATGCACATGGCACTGACTACACTTGGCAGAGACAGTTGTGTCACCATGCTCCTTTATATAGCAGTATTAAAACAAAACATAGGCAATTTTAAAATATATTTAGGCATATCCTTCGAAGACTATTTTGGCAATTTCGCCTCGTCAAAGAGAAAGCAGAGTATACAGCAAGATTAACAGAAAGCTGGTCTCAATGATGATGCTATTCATTTTTCTTTAATGTGGTTTACCACAATATCATTTTCAACATTCATAACTAGTACGCATACAAAAGTTTCCTCTAATTTTTGCATTCATTTTAGCTTGCATATGACGTTTGCCAAAAACAATCAAACTAGCATTACCAGATGAACCAGCTCTCTGGCAATCTTGCCACAGAGTACTCTGTTTTTTGTTTTACAAAGCGAATTTGTAAGAAACTTTATACCTTTTGCTCTGATTTAGCAAAAGAAAATCTACTTTGAGATTTGTATTTTACAATGAAGACTAATCATTCAATTTCATTCAGTTCACGCAACTAAAATAAGTTTTGAAAACCTTAGCCCCCTGCCTCCCCACAGACAACCAAGTCGAGAAGGCGCAGGGGATGTTACATTTAGTAGTTATGATGTAAATGTAAAGAAATTCAAGTGAATAAAAGGCAACCTCGCATTGCCGGTGACCAAACTTCCACCTTGAAATAATATGTCTAATGCTCTACCAATCTATATTTAGAGCACAAGACAACATCACAGAAATGAAGCCACAAAACACACGCAGTGCTCCAAGTGTCTTGAGTGCTTTGATCTTTGCGGTGTTGTCTTGTGCCGTAATTGTGGAAACTAGAAACACACTCTGTGGGGTCTCGGCGAGGCGAACGCGCGCACCGCCACGCCACGCTCTCGGAGTGAACGGACACAGTTGACACGATCGGTACCAAGCACACCACATACATACATTTATTAACTAATTTAGACGACGATATCGTCCGCCGAATGATACACCGATTTCAACTAACACGCTACCATACAAACAACATAACGCAGGGACACACTAAACACACAATAACATGATAAACCCACACTAACACACCCAACACACTAGCACATACCCAAAGCGGCGTCGCCAACGCCTGACCTTACACGCGGGACCCCGGCGCGAAGCCCGCGGTGCCGAGCACCGGGGACCCGCGCTACAGACAACCGTTCGCGGCAGCCGCCACGCGCAGAAAGGCTCGCTCGACGCTCGCCCACCACCAAGGCCCGCCTTCCGCCAGGGGCCACCACCGGCGCTGCCACTCTACCAACAGTGGTACTCAGAGCGAACACAACGCCATCTATCGCCCGGTGGTGGTCACCACCGAAATAACGCCCTGGGGCGAGACACGTGCGCCACGCGGCGCAGACAACTTTACAGGGGGGGTGTCAGCACCCCCACATTCCCCCAACCTTAAATCAAACCATACCCCGAAATCAAAAAATAGCTACACAAGCTTTAACAAAAAAATAATATCGCACGACCACAATGTCCTTGCACCACGACACCGCCGCCGGTCGACACTGCTGCACTGTCCGGCTAGACTTCACCTCAGTACCGGCCCCGCAACAGCAACGTTGCCATCGGCGCGACGATCTGTCGCTAGCGCCGACACATCTTCCAGTTGCGACCAGCACTCGCGAGGGCGCCGGACTGCAGGCAGTTGCGCAGGTCCCAGGCATCTCCATCGCCTGACCTCACGACCGCATTCCTGGCCAACGACGCTGACGATGTGCAGGACAGCCGGTCGTGGATGACATCCCTCCCGCTGAATACATCGACAAAAAACAAAACTCGAAAGAAACAAAGGAGCGCGGCCCAGAGGAGGGAGCTTCAGGCTTTGCGGCCACGTGGTACGGTGGTCAGTACTGCTAGCTAATACATCGGTGGCGGCCGAGACGCCCATCAAAATAAAAACAAAAATCACTTTTCCTAACTCGTGCTCACAAGAAAAAAAAAAGTGAGGGAAGCAGAGCGCAACACCTCAACGCTACGATCCACCTAGTTGTGCCACGTGCGACAGGCGGCTGCGCAGAGCCTTAGGCCTAATGAGTCGCTCGGCAACAACCGGCATCCACCCAGCACCCAGCCTAGGCGCAGGAGAGGCAGCCGCGAGGAGATGTCCACTCTGTGAGGTGGCCCTATCGCTCGCCGCACACAGCAGCTTACCGAGCGATCGGCGTCCACCGCCCCGGGCGGTGTCACGACGCCCCGGCGTCGAGCCGCAATACAAGTCAGCAACGACGCCCGGCTCCCTGAGCCCAAAGAGATAGAAGAAGCTATTTACAGAAAATCGGACCACCCACGAGGCTTCCGTACTCACTCGCTTCGGGCCTGGCCTACAAGCCACGTGCTCTAGGCCTTGCTCACCCCAGGATGCGGACCGCATGGCTCTCGTCCTAATTCAACAACGTTTTTGAAAACTAACAACAAAAAATAAGAACACTTGCGAGCAAAAAAAAAAAAGAAAGTCAACCTGCCGACAAATTGAAACACGTTACAAAACCAATCCCCTCGCTTCTCAACAAAGCACACCACCGACGCTAGCAAAGAAGTCCCCCCTAGGCCTACTCTACTCCGGCTCTAACAAAATCCCTGTACCGAACCGCAAGAACTGTCGTCCGACACTCCAAGAGCTCCACGTTGGGCAGCCAGTGTGGGGTCTCGGCGAGTGTGGGGTCTCGGCGAGGCGAACGCGCGCACCGCCACGCCACGCTTTCGGAGTGAACGGACACAGTTGACACGATCGGTACCAAGCACACCACATACATACATTTATTAACTAATTTAGACGACGATATCGTCCGCCGAATGATACACCAATTTCAACTAACACGCTACCATACAAACAACATAACGCAGGGACACACTAAACACACAATAACATGATAAACCCACACTAACACACCCAACACACTAGCACATACCCAAAGCGGCGTCGCCAACGCCTGACCTTACACGCGGGACCCCGGCGCGAAGCCCGCGGTGCCGAGCACCGGGGACCCGCGCTACAGACAACCGTTCGCGGCAGCCGCCACGCGCAGAAAGGCTCGCTCGACGCTCGCCCACCACCAAGGCCCGCCTTCCGCCAGGGGCCACCACCGGCGCTGCCACTCTACCAACAGTGGTACTCAGAGCGAACACAACGCCATCTATCGCCCGGTGGTGGTCACCACCGAAATAACGCCCTGGGGCGAGACACGTGCGCCACGCGGCGCAGACAACTTTACAGGGGGGGTGTCAGCACCCCCACAACTCTCCCAACATACAGTATTTTATCTAGTCACATTATTAACCCACTCACCTAATGACCCCTCCCTCTGGTTTTTCAGAAAAGGAAAAGAAAAAATTTTAATGTATCTGTTCATTTTATTTCGGTGTGATAGCCACTGCTGTTGACATTTGAAACAATGTTAAATCAAGCCATTATATCCCAAAATATGACGCGCAAAAAGTCAAATTGCAACCATGCTGAACAGTTGCGAGCAGCGTGAGCATGGACAACGTCAATCAAAATTTATAAGTCTCACCATTTGCGGCAGAGCGCCATCTGTCGAATGCAGGAGAAACCTCCTTGCTTACAGAGCTATGCAAGCACAACAACATGACAACAAAGCAAAAAAACAAAGTGCACGGCCTCTAAAATTGTAGCCACCCGAATCGTTTCTACATTGTGTGCCCCCCATGTCGGAGGCCATGCAAAGTGCAACTACGTCGTCTGCGCATCGTGCACCCGCGACGTTTATACAACATGGCGTTTGCACACCGCCATCCAACGGTGCATTTTTGTTGTCGCATTTGTCGTAGTGATCTGCTGCGCAAGGCGCGTTCTGCCAGTATGCTCGATACACGGCTGGTTTTAAACTTAAAGTTGGTCGAGCATGCGGCTAAAGTAGCTGGATCATGGAAACCGAGCGATTGGCCGAGGCTTTGGCAGTTGATCCGTGCGTGTCCGCTAGGGGAGAAAACAATAAGATTGATATGTAGGGTTTACGTCCCAAAACCTCCATATGATTATGAAAGACACTGTAGTGGAGGGCTCCAATATTTTCGACCACCTGCAGTTCTTCAACGTGCACTCAAATCTGAGCACACGGGCCTACAGAATTTTAGCCTCCATCGAAAATGCACCCACCACAGCCGGCATGCGATCCCGTGACCTGCGGGTCAGCTACCGAGTACCTTAGCCACTATACCACCGTGGCGGGTAAAACAAGGAGAGTTTCGAGCTGCAAAAAAAGATTCATCCTGCGTTTCATGAGCCAAAACAAGCAAAAACGTAAAGCGAATTTTCGCTCTTATAATTCACATATTCTTTTTTCTCTTGCGTAATGAACCCTCCCCATAAATTGGAATCAAGTTTGAAAAAAAAAATTGGGCTCATTACGCGAATAAATACAGGTACTGCTTTGCGGAGCTCTACCACTTGAGCTATGGACAAAAGTTGTCCTCCTGCCCACTTTAATAGGTATAAGTTAAACCTGGGCATAAGGAAATTGATAAATTCTGGAAAAATTCGTTATAAAGAGGATTTCGTTATATGCAGGTTCGGTATGAAAATTCAGAAAATAAACATGCAAATAAAACAAAAGGAAGACTGAAGGCAGAGCTAACTCAAAACACTCATTTTAAAGTAAAAAAAACTACATTAGCATTGCGATAGCAATTATATGAACACTCTTGGTGGGTTTTTGCTGTCGCCGCCATGTTCCGTAACAAGTCCAAATTGATAACATGCCCCCCACGCATCGTAACTTTCACGAGCGCGTAAAAGCGCGCGAGCCCTGCTGAAGCAGAGATCAAAGAAGTCGGCCCATCTTTACATCACCTGGAAAGTGCATAAGATAACATCTCCTGCGTGTTAGAACTGCCGTCGAATGCACAAATAGAAAGTAAACCACCCGTCTTGAACGATTATGAAACAATACAGGGAGAGGGGGGAGGGGATCGCTCGAGTGGCAATAGTGAACTTGGATTTTAAGGGCGATGGCGATCGTAGGTGCGCTTGCTATCTCAGCGAGTATCAGTGCGGTTTCAACGCGAAGAGACTGCGTGAAAAGAGCACTTCTTTTTGGAGCAGCTGTATTTGCTCACACCAGCATTATGTAGGAGTTTTGTAGATCAGTGCCTAATCTAACATCCCCTCGGTGGTGACAACACGGTTGTTTGAAATTAGGAAAAGTCAAAGTTTCACCACAAGGGCGAAGCAATGAATGTGATAGCAACGACTTGGAATGTAACGCTGAGAACGGCAAGCAGATCGGAACATGCAGCACACTGCTTACGCACCAATGACGCACGAAGACAACATACACAGGACGAGAGCGAACTAACAACGTTTACCGCTCGAAACTTAACACACTGTTCAAACAAAAACCAGGCACGAAAGGTAATCACATTTACAGATATGAGAACTAACGAGTGTCCCAGTTGTTACTTTGCTGTGTTTGAAAAGTGCACTCTTTTCGCAAACGGTGCCTGTCCAGTGAGCGAAGTGATCCTTCTGCAACTGGAAACTATATGCAATCATTCTGGTCAAAGTCTAAGGTGCGCAATTTTCCTTACTGAAAGGTAAGCGCACCTGAACAAGCATTTAACGCCCCCCCCCCCAAACCCCTCATTCGCGGGGCAAAGTATGCGCGAGAGATAAGCGCAAGTCAACGCAACGTGACAAGCTGGGAGCCGAGCGCGGGCGGTTTTTTTTTCTTTCTTGAGTTTTCATTTATATAGATATGTATACATATACAGTGAATGGCGGCAACGGCAAAATAACCAGCCGAGGCTGTCCATATAGTTGCTATTGCAATAAAAAAAAAGCAAAGGTGAACGTTGTCAGGGGCCACACCATGCGTGCGCAGTGAAACTACGCATGCGCGCACGGCATCGAAAACAAAGAGTGAATGACACAGACACAGGCAGGGATACCACGGAAAACTATTCAGTAAAGCGCCCTCCATATGCAGCACGGCTCCCCATATGTGACGCTAACTAAAAGCGTGGCACTGCCAATGTGCAAAAGTAGTTGTTTTTATTTTGTTTTGGAGTGAGGGGGAGGGGGGCATAACCGCGCATGCGCCTGTGGCGGCAAGAACCGCGGCAACGCCGAATTGTGGGGTGCAGGCCCACCTGCCCGCCTTGAGCTAACCTGTGCGCGATAACGAGCGCTCGCTCTGGCCTGGTGCGTCGCGCGGGCTGCCGCCGCTTCGAACTTCGTCTGCGGCAGGGCAGCCGCGGAAGATGCATGCTCATACCAAAATGTCAAAATGTGGAGCAAATTTCCTAGAATGTCCGTGGGGAAAATTCGTTATATCGACAGTTGTCTTCCACTGTTACTTCGTTACATAGAGGTCGCAAATACATGTGCTTCTATGGAGCAACAGAGGGGAATGGTAAAACTTTCGTTATATCGAGGAATTTGTTACATGGAGGTTCGTTATAAGCAGGTTTAACTGTATTGAGAGTGTTTTTCAGCCCTGCTTATAGCTATGATGACGAGTGTGACGTGGCGTTACAAAGAAAAGGTGGATTCCTTTGAGTCGTCGACCAGCCTGCCGTCCTGCCTAAGCAACATGCATGAAGCACGTAAATGAAGCGCACCTGGTGTGCCCCCAGCGTGATGCCAAGTGCCAGGTCGTACTCGCCAATGGTCTCACTGAGGCGGGCTGTCTGGCTGTTGGTAGCCCCGATGCCTCCCAGCTCGGGAGGCACCTGCATGCCGAAGCCACCCATTGCCTTTAGCGCCTGCATCGACTCGTCTGCGATACGTTCCGTTGGCATCATTCGCATCGGCATTGTTCACCTCCTGCACGAAACCACAACCAACATTCACAACATTCCACTTGCTTCACACTTCAGACGCAGACCACGCAAGTATCGCCATAATTGAGCAGTCACTTGATGTCAGGCTCTCCCGTTGTGTTTACTTCACGGCTAAATTCTCTTCTTAAGTAAATACTAACTAGGCCAGTTTTGTTTAACAAGTATCACTTCATCTTTTCTCACTTTGGTCACTGGCACTTGCTCTGAAGCTCTGCTAAAATGCTGACACTAGCGCAAGATATGTATTAGGCCTAATGTAAAAAATGGTTCATCATCTAAAATACGCCTTTTTTTTTACCTATACTGGATAATAATCCAGTGCTTTTCATCTGCAGTGATTCCATGTAACCAAGGGACAACTAAGTCATGTGCCACAAAGTTCTTTTCTCCACCTTTTCCTCTAACTAATCTGCAGCAGTTTTCTGCACGAGGCCCTCACTTGATGGTATTAGATGCCTGCACTGTCCATCAGTAAAGCATTATGTGAATGTTTGAAACAAAAAACACCCACTATGCAATAAAAATTGTGCATGCCCTGGCAGATGCCACAAGGCAGGTGGCAGTGCAAATCCATGCAAGTCTATCGCAGGCATTCAAACCTGAGGTTCCATAAAAGTGCAGAAAAGCCGCACCACCAAAAATGACGATGAACTAGTATTTCATTACCCATAAACAAGTACCTGAAGAATCCCCACCAAAAACATACTGTTTCATTGTAGAAAGTTTCTTGAGCAATACGGGTTCAAAGAGGCTGAACATTTTGAAATCATGTATTACTGAATAGCTTCAATAAATACTTTCCTGTGCCCATCTCTCAGACAAATACTCAGACAAGTGCGTGTGAGTGAACCTCTGCTCTCCTGGAAAGCTTAACGTTTCGAGCATGCAAGCCTAGCGAGTGAGACAGGCAAAACTACAACCATGAAGACCTGATTGCTAAATGTGCAAGATAACACAAGACACATTGAAAGGTGTTCCTGTACATGTATGATCTTTTGTGGACTTCCATTTGCGCATACGCCAATCACATGCACTAGAGCTTCTGCCTAAATGTAACAATTGCCTCTGATATGATTGGTCTCACGCTTGTGTTATGCACCTCTGTTCGTTTCTCAGTAAACAAAACACCTGTTAAACAGAACATATGTTTCTGGTCCCTCCAGATTCTGTTCGAGTCTACTGTAGTAGAATGAAATGCCTTCACGAAATCAAAGGTACAATATGCGGTTGTGTGGCAAAGATAATTCTGGAGTGCATTTTGTAGCAAAAAAAATAGTGACTTTGCCTTAGTCTGCAAAGACAAATGAAAGAGTATAACACCTGTTGGTCGAAAACTCCAAGAAATGCAGTTTCAGTGTGTGGTGACCCCGCTCCTAACTGCAGCGGACGATCACCGCGGGTTCAGGCTTAGCGAGCCACAGGGCCGCTACTCCGTTTACTCGCGTGTAGCGCACCGCTCCGGGCGCGCTCAACTAATAAGGCGTTTAGCGCGGCGCCGCAAACAGACAGTGTTCTAATGCAAAACACAACACTTTATTGCCACTGGCGGCACCCCGAACAACAGTACAACGTCCGCTCCCGGGACGCGGGTAGCAAAGGCACCCGCACGCGGACGTTCACAATAAGGGGAAAACCGCGAGCACGTCGCAGCTGGCAATGGCGAGCTTTGACACGCCGGTCGGGAAAGGTCCCTCGCGGCTATGCTGCGCACTCTCACGATGGCCACTAGGCCTGGTCGCGAGTGTTAGGGCAAACCTCGTACGCGAATGCCTAACGCAAGTGCGGCTCGTTGTGGTACGACCACTTCAAGCACTAGGCACCGCTCTGGGCTTAGCGTACGCTACCGAAGCCAACACTCAAGTAAACACGCCTGCCGAGGCGCCCAAGGCACCCCAGGCAGGCTACCGTCCGCGATTCCCAAAGGGCACGCGGACGAATGAAAACACGTGCTTACCCGGCGCCGTCCACGGAGAAAGAGACCGCTCCATCGGCGCGCGCCATGCCCGCACGTGGCGCCATCTATCGCCACGTGGTGTTAACAGAGCAGGAAAGCGAAAGGGTGTGGCCGTGTGGCGGAATGCCCGCGAAATGGTCGCAGGCGCGCCTCAGATCCCCACATCCTCCTCTCCTTAATTCACCCTATATACCGGTCTGCAAAGGCAGCCGGTCGTCGCCCATGCATGCAAAGGCGTCATGCAATGGGCAACAGCTAGCCTCAGCCTCGCTCTGCAACTGCTGCTGAAGAAAAAAAAATAAACAACACAAGAATACACTTGACAAATACAAGGGTTCCGCGGAAGAGGGGTAACGGGAGTTCATGATGCTCACGCAAGAGCGCGTCCACGGCTCGGAGGGGCAGCGTCACGTAATGTCTGACTTGGGGAGATTGCGTGGATGCGAGAGTTCAAGAGGAGGATTCTGGTTGAGGCCTTCATGCGAGGAATGGGCTCACCTTCGTTTCGTCGATGTTGACGACAGCCCTGCGAGTCCGACGAACGCCGCCTCGGTGGATGTTCGGATGGACCTCGCTGCGACAGCCGGCCCTTCTGCTGGAATAATGGTCGCCAAATCCATTGGCTGCGAGGCGTCCTGCGGCGTCGGTCGAGTCGTGCACAGCGTCTGCGACAGCTGGCCTCGTGCAGGTCTCCAAACACCTCCAGAGTCCAAAGTGGTGTAGGGGTCGGTGGCTTCTTAAGTTGTCGCCACACGCACACACACACGCACACACTCCTCCGATGGTCGGGTCTCTCCAAACGCGCACCGCAAGGGAAGCGCAGAGTGTCATTTGTCCCTCTCCCCACGCTAAAGCATCAATTCATAATCCCCTCCTCCAGCGAGGAGGAAAAAAGAAAACGAAAAAAAAAACATCAAGTAAACAACACTCAAATGACAATCAGCAGCAGTAGCTGGGCGGAACAGACTTCTTCGCAAGCACTGGCTGTAAAGAAGTTAGCTAACTGAGACTAGAAAGTAAAAATGAGGGCCTTCGGTTGCGGAAATAAGCCCGCCGTCCGGCGCGAAATCACTAAGGTGACCACTTCCTCAGATTATACCGGTGCGTGGTCCGAATGCGGTCCGCCGCACCGGGTGTGCGCCGTTGCTTGCACGAAGAGCCACTGGGCGCTGGCACAGGCTCGTCAGACCTTGACGCAAAGGCTTTCAGGTCTGCGATATGGGCACGGCTGAGTTTTCCCGAAAGCGGGTCTTTCAGCAAGTACGCGAGTGGAGTCCAAGCTTTTTCCGCTCGGTACGGACCAAGCCACTTTGGAGCGAGCGAAGTTGAGAAACCCTTGCTCGCGTCGCTAAGAGCGTGGTTGCGCTTCAGGACGAGGTCACCCACCTTAAATGAAAGGTGGCGACGTTTTCGGTCGTACTGGGCCTTTTGCTCGGCCCTGGCCGATGCCAAACTTTGCCTCGCTCTACTGAGAGCTCGACAGAGCCTGTCCCGAAGTGTGGAAGCGTAAGCAGAACAGTCTGCCGGTTCTTCCTCGTCTCCGAGCTGGCATTGCATGACACTGGTCACCGGATTTGCCAACTCCCTTCCGAAATTAAGGAAAGCGGGAGAGAAACCAGTAGAGCGACTCTCGGAGGTTCGGATTGCAAACGCGAGTTCACTCAAATGGTCTGCCCAATCCCTTTGACTTTCGGCAAAGGCCGCCAACATCGGTTTGAGCGTACGGTTGGTTCGCTCCGTCAAATTGGACTGGGGATGGTAGGGCGAAGTGGTGCAGTGATCTATTCCTAGGGAACGGCACGTATTACCAAACACCCGAGCGGTGAAATATGACGCATTGTCCGTGATCAATCTTTTCGGAAAGCCGAACCGACAAAACACTTCCTGTAGCCTCTCTAGCACCGCTCGCGCTGTCACTTTCCGCAGCGGAAACAGCTCCACCCATTTGGAAAAATTATCAACAACTACCATCAGATATATGAACCCCTGCTTACTTCTGGGGAACGGCCCCATTAGATCGCAGATGGCTACTTGCCACGGACGCTCACTGACAATCGGTTTCATCAAGCCGGGCGGCTTGCCACCCCTTGGTTTCACCGTTTGACAGACGTGGCAGGAACGGCAATAGCGAAAAATGTCACGCTTCATGCCAAGCCAAGTCACAACCTTGCTCAGTTTCGCAAAAACTTTGGAGCCACTCAGGTGACCGGCAATGGGCTCGTCATGACAGGCTCGCAACAGTGCGGCTCTCAGACTTTTGGGCATAACCACCTTAAACGGGTCTATGGACTCGTCGTCAGTGGCTATATACTTCAGCAGGAGCCCGTCATGGTCCAGCAAAATGAATCCGCCGGGGACTCAGCGACACACGCTGTTTCAGCCCCTTAATCGCGCCCGCCGCAGAACAAGCAGCGTAACGGCGCGCCTCTCAAGACGGTTTAACGGCGCCCGCCGCAAAGCATGCAGCGTATACGGCGCTCCGTCCCTCCGAGACTCGGAACGGAATCACTCTGCTGAGCCTTCAGTAGCTCTTCGCTGCCGAAAGCAACTCCCATTCTCCCAAATGGGGGAGTCTGGTATCGCGCCCACTCAGGACCGCAGCAACCGCCGCGTGCACGGCGTCACGGGTTTGCTCTCGGCACGGTGGCCTTCGGAAAGTTCCCCCCGCTCGGCCGCTACGCAGTGCGCCGCTTACCTAGATAGTAGCCAAGGTCGTCTTCATGGGGACTCCCCTTCTCGCCGCTGTTTCGCCCCCGACGCATGCCAGTGCTAAGGCACCGCGAGCGGCCGTCGCACCAGAATCCAGGTTCTCGGCAGACAACAGGGGGCACGAGATAGCGCGTCAGCTACCACGTAGGAGTGTATTCACCACAAAAAGGGGTGAAGACACAGGCGAGCGCCGAAGGGCGCCCGTCGATAGAGGCGGTGGCCTCTTTGTGCAACGCGGCATGCCACGGAGCAGACATGTTGCGACGAGCCCGAATCGCGCAGGTGAACTGGCTCACTAAGACTAACCAAAGGCCTAATGAGCCTCTGATACCGCGTTGGGTACCAGGCTGCTAGGTTGCATAGCAGCCAGCGGGCAAAATTCGGCAACGGCTGAGGCCGCGTTGCCGATCTGCGCCCCGGAAGCTCCACCGAGAGCCGTTTCGGAGCGCTGTGACATGGAACTGCCATGCATTCCAAAGGGAGCAGTAGTAGTCCAATTTGCCCTTGTGCACTGTTCGGGTTGGGCTATGGCCCCGGACCCAGAACACGCTACCTCTCCAGTGGGAGCTGATACGTAGCGCCTCGTGTCATGCCGACTGGGGCCTGTGACAAGTGAGGGTGCACGATTGTGATGCTCAAGGGGGGGGGGGGGGGGGGGGGGGGCACTGGCCCTGTTCTCGAGCAATGCGGTATCTGCTAAAAGCGTCAGCGGACAGAACTCACGCGGAGCAGACATAACGCGGGCAAACGCGGCGAGCCTGATTCGCAAAGACGGGTCGACTCGGCTAAGACTAATCAAAGGCTTAATGAGCCTTTGATACCGCGTTGGGCGCCAGTGTGGTGACCCCGCTCCTAACTGCAGCGGACGATCACCGCGGGTTCAGGCTTAGCGAGCCACAGGGCCGCTACTCCGTTTACTCGCGTGTAGCGCACCGCTCCGCGCGCGCTCAACTAATAAGGCGTTTAGCGCGGCGCCGCAAACAGACAGTGTTCTAACGCAAAACACAACACTTCATTGCCACTGGCGGCACCCCGAACAACAGTACAACGTCCGCTCCCGGGACGCGGGTAGCAAAGGCACCCGCACGCGGACGTTCACAATAAGGGGAAAACCGCGAGCACGTCGCAGCTGGCAATGGCGAGCTTTGACACGCCGGTCGGGAAAGGTCCCTCGCGGCTATGCTGCGCACTCTCACGATGGCCACTAGGCCTGGTCGCGAGTGTTAGGGCAAACCTCGTACGCGAATGCCTAACGCAAGTGCGGCTCGTTGTGGTACGACCACTTCAAGCACTAGGCACCGCTCTGGGCTTAGCGTACGCTACCGAAGCCAACACTCAAGTAAACACGCCTGCCGAGGTGCCCAAGGCACCCCAGGCAGGCTACCGTCCGCGATTCCCAAAGGGGACGCGGACGAAAGAAAACACGTGCTTACCCGGCGCCGTCCACGGAGAAAGAAACCGCTCCATCTGCGCGCGCAGTGGCGCCATCAATCGCCACGTGGTGTTAACAGAGCAGGAAAGCGAAAGGGTGTGGCCGTGTGGCGGAATGCCCGCAAAATGGTCGCAGGCGCGCCTCAGATCCCCACAAGTGAAGGAAATACACGACTGCCTTGGCATTTGATCAATAGAAAAACGCCGGGCTCATACAGAACATCCAGCACAGTATTAGCAAAAGCTGGAAGAGCAAGCTTTCTAGAGCCCGTTGTGAACTTTCTTGAAGCAACTACAGCAAGTACACTTGTATGGCACCCACTAAGCCATAATTCACTATATTTTTCCTCATGTGGGGAAGCACCCACTATGCCATTATTAGACATTCTGCAGAGGTACTCGTTACACATCTGTAAGGCACTTCACTGATGCAGCAGCTGATGATGATGAAGAATTGTAGCTGAACCTTTTGTAATAAGTTGAAAGCATTCATCAACCCACTCGTTAGGTCATTCACATTGTGTGATGCCTGGCTGTTATCTTACAGCAACACCTGTGATAAAAACACAACAAGGGCTGCCGCTAGTGTGCGTGACTGCTATTGCATGAAATAAAGCAAAAAAATATTCAAGATGGAAAGAGTCGAGCCTGGGTCCTTTGCACAGCAGCCCAGATTCTACTAGAGAGCCATGCTGGTGCTTAAAACTCCGTTGCAAGAAAGACCCTATACAAGTGCTATGTCGGGAAAGAACTGCGTTAGCATGCATAATATACAGTGGACTCTCAGTAAACGGAAATCTGTTTCAGAATAGATTTACATATTAAAACCATAATGAAACTGCTGCTTAAATGAAACAAGTGCCTCGGTTATGATTGGTTTCATCCCTGCATACTGCACTCCCGTTTAACTCTCAGTAGATGGAACTCCTGTTAAATGGAATACATTTTCCTGGCCCCTTCAAGTTTCATTTAATAGGAGTCCACTGTAGTGTGGCAGAAAGGTAAAATAACAACCAGTTGTCGCCACACAATGTGAACTGTGTAACCAGATGCCAAAAAAATATGAATTGCATAACAAGTTTATTGCTTCTGAACCATTACAATGGATCCAGCCATAATTTTTCATTGTCATCAGCCGCGACAGCAATTTATGGCGTAGCGATACCATGCGAGCATACTTATAATAGTTGCCTCAAAAGAGTCTTGTAGGGGGTCCGTCCTATGTACGGCTGACGCAGAAGCCTAGCTAATGTTCCAGCCGCACATTGTCGTATCGTGCATGATTAACATACCCCATCCGTAGCTTGTCTCATTGCAGCTACACTGGTTCGGGCATACCTAAAGGGACAGACATGCCCTCACGACTAGGCTGTTGCGCGGCCGTAAAAGGGAAAGGGTGGCTGGGCGCACATGCTTCCCCCACAGTATACAACCGGGATTTTCAATTGCCCCTCTTCCAGCTTCTACTGTCAGAGTGCTGCGCTTTGAGCACAGGCTTGGGGTTCTTTTACGTTGTTTTTTCCCACACTATATAACACATGTTTATGCAATTATTTGCCCAACATGAAGCCTACATAGGGTATTTTTACGAAGAAGTTTCAAGCAGCGTCATGGCTCGTGACTGTTGAAAAACCAGTTGCCACGCAAAGTGTCAAGGTTCAAATCGCATTCTATATATTTTTTTCTCATTTCTTTTTTTCTTCTTTTAGCACAATAGAGTTACAGACACTGGTGACAGTGGCAGATGAAAACTACAACACCAAAAACGGTAGTTGTCGTGACCTCATAACAGCTTTACCTCTGAAACAGTGAGGACAGACTCATGGAAGATTGAGGTAGTCAGTTGCAGTAAGTAACTGAAGTTACGTCCTGCTTACAAGTATTGTGTTTTATAAGCAGGATATCATGTTCTACTCTCAAGATCAACCCCTATTTTTATGCAGGCACACTGTTGTTTTCTATACCCATTCGTCTCTTACATCAGTGTCTCTTACAAAGGGATTCAACTGTGTGGGTTGTCTATGTGTGTGCATGTGAACATGTGTATATAAAAACCAGCAAGCAAAATGATCTAAAACAATTTTTTAAAGCGTCCAACTGAAAATTCGAAGATATGACCCCTCGCTCCACAGTGCAATGCATTAAACCACTTGTCACACATGCATATACTAATGGCTATTCATACTATATACTATTTCTAGGTGGTACGCATACCTCTGAAGTGCTTCAATGTTGCAGAGGCTTGTTCCCCGTCACCCGCAAGATGTTGCAAAAGGCCGAGGGTCACAATTAAAAGGGTGTCACCGTAATCACCTTTTGCCAAAGTAGGACTTCAGCTCAGTACTTCAACCAACAAGGTGTGGTAGAAGGTGCTCGCGCACTCATGTTTTGAGGGGTGTTCAGCGAATCACTCATACCTCTGTATCTGTTGTGCTGCCATCGCAAAGTTTGCATGGAAACCTGTGGGGGAGCACGAGCGCCACGCCATCCTGTCCTTTCTACGGCAGAGCGACAGCCTAGGTAAGAAGACAGGTCTGTCCCTTCGAGACACAAGTCAATAAAGTCCTTGCGAAGAGATAAAACACCCCGCGACCGGCGCACGAGATTCCCCTTTCCCGAACTGCGGAATGGCTTTCCCCTTCCTCAGCGAAGGAGCGAACTCTTGTCAGAGAAAGAGAAACCGGGAGAGTGGAGAAAACGAGCGTGCCGATGGTGGGGCGCTTTCTCTAATGCCAGCGACGAAGCAGAAAATTCGACTCCCGGGACTTTCTGTGAGACAAGGACGACAACGACCGAAGCGTAAGCGTCTACTCTTCGTTATCTGCCTAGAGATGAAGTCCCTCTATGCGTATTTTAGACGTTATTGCTACCGTAGCAATAAAGTATTGTTTTGTTGACCTAGCCTGTTGCCTTATTCGCCCAAACACGTGTAGCTGCGATGACTCGCACTACAGAAAGGGGACGTTAATTGTGCACGGTACGACTGTGTGCGGCTGAAACATTAGAAAGGCTGCTGCGTCAGCCGTATATAGGACGGACCCCCTTCAAACCACAATCTGCATGTCAACCGAGCAGGGTGAGCCTCCAAAGGATGAGCTGTCACATGAGCTGCTCTCTAGCCTTTCTTCGCTGAGACATTCCAATTGGTGGCCTGTTTGTTCTCATTGCTTCACACTTCTTGCAGGTAGAACAATTCCTACAAAGCCCTTGCAACTCTGTCATTACAGCATATATAGCACCACAATGGCGGCAGGATGATTTCATACAATCTTACAAACCTTACAAGCGCTCAGGCAGGATGATTTCACAGTTGTGAAAATCTTGCATTCAAAACATATATATCTTGATGTGTACTCTGCCAACAAAGTGCACCATAGAGGCGTGCTTGATGCAGCCAAGGTAGAACTAACCTGTATTTTTTCAAAAGTCTGGCAGCGAGTCAATGCTTGCGACTACAAAATGTAAAAAAAACTAGCACATCATTGACTTGATCTAAACTTGTTCGAACATTTACTCATGGGTAAGCCAGAGCAAGTACACTTTCAAGCGAGTCGACCAACTAAAGATGGCCTCATTATGGATCACTTGGTTGCATTCTTCATGCTAATCAAACTTCCAACAGGTGAACAATACACTCTGCCAGAATGTGTGGCCCACTCACCATAAGGAACTTGTTGAGGGGGTCCAATAGCATCCCCAGCGTCTCTGTTTGGTCAGCTGTCAGAACTGCATACAAAGTCAATAATAAGCACACTCTTTTTTTTTTTTCTCAGCCTTATTTGCAGTGCAGCAGGCCTCGAAACCAGTTTTTGTCTTGTGAAAAAAAATTTTGCTTTCTTTAAAAAAAATCGCAAATCTTCACTTGCAGCAACCTCTTTCAAAGGGAATAAAAATGAGATGTCGATGAGATGCTACAAAGAAACTTTAGTAGCTGTAAGTAAAAAAATTTTCTCCACATGCTTTTGATAGTTTGTGTCAACAAAACACTATTACTTCGCTCCTTTGATGCTGTTCTTCCAATAAAAAAAAACTGGGGAATCTGTACAAAGTTCAATAACGCTCGTGTGTATAAACACCAGGCTACCCAAACTATTTTTTTTCAACATTTATTTTTTTTCAACATTTTACATCAACATTTTGCAAGGTCTATCAAAAAGTATCCGACCTTATCTTTTTTTCAAGCACCTGACGAATTTGGAACAAGCGCACTTACCTGAGCTGACCTTCAACCTTCGTGCGCATGTGTGAATTTTTTCCCCCCTGCCAATACCGTGAGTCGCTGGGATGCAGAGTTTGAGTGAGATAGTGCACAGTGTTCTCATCGGTTTTTTCCTTGTAAGGAAAATGACGGAGTGACTAGAGCAGCCCTACTGCATGAAATTTTGCCAGAAACTTGGTGACAGCCAAGTGGAAAAACGTTGAAAAGATCAAGACGGCTTTCGATGACGTGTGAGGGTGCTAAAACTTCCTGTCAAGTCGTTTGCGCCACGTGGCACATAAGTCTTGCGCAGAAGCCGTATTTCGCAGTCACAATTATGAGCGGTAGGTGGCGTGTTCGCTGAGCGTTGGTCCATGCTATCATCATCAGGGTTAGATTGGTAGCACCAGCGGTGACCCCTGGCAGCAAGCCATAGTGGCAGCACGAGATTGATTGATATGTGGGGTTTAACGTCCCAAAACCACCATATGATTATGAGAGACCCCATAGTGGAGGGCTCCGGAAATTTCGACTACCTAAGGTTCTTTAACGTGCACCCAAATCTGAGCACACGGGCCTGCAACATTTCCACTCCATCAGAAATGCAGCCGCCGCAGCCGGGATTCCATCCCGCGACCTGCGGGTCAGCAGCCGAGTACCTTAGCCACTAGACCACCGCGGCGGGACGGCAGCACGAGAGAGTTGAGCGAGTCTCTTTGGGGCGTAGCAGTAGGCGCGAGCAGTTGTCTCTCGCGTGAGTCCCTGGTGCAAGGCACCGCAGGACACCTGCAGGGGGCCCTTGTGGTGAGTCAAGCATTGGCGTTGCTGCTTTGTGTTCGTTATGCTGCTGAGTATTGCATAATAACTGTGTAAAGTTGTTTAGTGTGTTGATTACAATTGATGTACAATAACTCGGCTGACTATATCGTCGTTGTAAAGCTAGTTAAGTGTGCATTGTTTGCTTTGTTCCTACCATGTCTATGGTGTCCGTTCACTCCAAGAGCGTGGAGCTCTCGCCACATCGTGACCCCACAGACGCTATAAGCCACACACAGATTAAGGAGTGGTACAAGCGGTTCAAAGACAGCCACACATCGGTGAAAAGCGAGTTGCGCTCCGGTCGGCCATCAACATGCCGATTGACCAGATCATTGCTGAAATGAACGCTGCAGTGATGTAGGACCGTCGTGTGACTACCAGGGGAATAGCGGAAGAGGTGGGCATCAGAGTTTTGTCTGCACATTCCTCTATGACCAAGGATTTGGCCACCAATAGAGTTGCAATGAAAGTCGTGCCCAAACTACTCACAATAGAGCAAAAGCAACTTCGTGTTGAAGTCTCACAGGACATGCTGCATTTCACAAGCAGTGACCCTAACCTCATGAACACCATTATCATTGGTGACGAGTCTTGGGTTTACGGGTGCGACCCAGAAACCAAATCCCAGTCACCCCAGTGAAGCATTCCACGTCACCAAGAACAAAGAAGGCAAGCCAAGTGCACAGCAACGTCCAAGTGATGCTGAGTGTTTTCTTTGACTACCGCAGTTTGGTGATGCTGTATAGCGCAACAGACCTGAGTTGTGGTCAACAGGAAACTGGCACAGACATCACGACGATGCTCCTGCACATTCTTCACACTTTTTTCTGACTTTTTTGGCAAAAAGTCTCCTGCAGTTCAATACACTCCTTACTCTCCCGATATGGCCCCCTGCAACTTCTGGCTGTTTCCCGAATTCTAGAGAACATTGATAAGAGAGCAATTTCAGACAAAGGAGGACATTACGGCTGCAATGCAGCTGAGCTAAACTCCGTTGAGAAAGAGGCTTTCTCACAATGCTTCCAACAATGGCAGCACCACTGAGAGAAGTGTGTAGAGTCCCAAGGGGACTACTTTGAGAGGAATTAGGTTTTCAACGCCCGAATTATGCCATTTTTTTTTTCTTCCAACAAAGGTCGGATACTTTCTAACACACCTCGTATGTCCAAAAATGTGCTGAGAAATATCCCTGAGAGTGACTTTGAATATTAACCAGAAATGTCAGAGGATATGTCACAAAAACTGCAATATTTAAAAATCATTTAAGGAAAGCATCTTCCTCGATTTTTTTTACCTTTTCAGAATTAAAGACAAGCTTATTTAATCTGTAATAACATGCTGCATTATTTTTGTGAGGTCGGATTTATGAAGCACTTAAGTGGCCTAACTGATGTAAACTGAGTGAACAAGGAGCAATGATTGCCATTATAATTGTTTTCAGGCTGTGAATGTATTCTTTCGATTGACAGATTGACAAAAAAGACAGGAAGAGTTGATTTTGAACAGCAATTTATTACACTTTTTTTACACAAATCATAAGAACTTCCACATGGGTCCCAGCACCTGAGCAAACTATGATGCTGAGCCACACACTTTGCAGGAATTGCACTTAAAATTTTCTGCGCATGCGAGCCTGTGAACACCTCATGAAGGCAGTGGCTAGAGAGGATCCTCCGGTGAATATTTACTGCCTCCCACGAAACGTCGGTAATGTAATAATACAAACAGTGTTAGAAAGTAAGAAGTAATAAGAAAATGTTTGCTTTAACTTGCATTCGTCATCGACAACCTGGCAGTCCTCCACTGGCCAATGAATTTGTGTACATGTGTGCGTAATACACTGCCCCGATATTGATGGCCATTTTGTGGAGCTCGGAGCTTAGAGCATTTTGTCCTGACTACTTAAAGAAGCATAACAAGAAGACTGCCTAGAAGCGGAACTTTTAAAGTGTGAAAGATTTGACTGCCGCTTTACTAAGGAAGTGCATGCCAGAAAAAAGCTCTTCCATCAAAGAAACTGACATTTGCCGCTTTACTAAGGAAGTGCATGCCAGAAAAAAGCTCTTCCATTAAAGAAACTGACATTTTGTTACAGAAATGTTTCAACCGCTTCAAACAGATGACCATAGAGTCTCTGGATGCACTTGGTCTTGATGAAAATTGTGTTAGTGATAAACTGCTGTTGAAGAGCTAAACATATATTATTAACACAAGTGACGTGACACCTCTGAAATTCTGACAAAAGTGAATGCACTTCGCCGAGCATTGTACGCCAAGCGTAAGAAAGCAGAGATCAAGGGTGCTGCCTACAGGACTAACCTTACAGCAGCATACGGCACTACAGAAGAACCTAGTCTTTCAGTGAAAACTGCAACACGTGTTGCAAGTGGCTCCACAACCTAAACGACGTGCTTGATACCTATGAATCATACCCGACATTGCTCCCTCTAAACTTTTCTCGTCAACAGATTCAAGAAATGGTTCCATCCACAATTTGATAGCTCATTCAAAAATAAAAAAATACACACACCAGTGGGGTGTGGTCAAGTCCAGACCTATACACCAAGTCGGAGCTGAACCCAAAAGACATACAGGCAGAAATGAAATGATATACGAAAGATGACCTCAACTGCACCCAACAAAGCCTAAACAAATTTTTAAAAATGTCATTATATAGTCCTAAAGGACAAGAAAACAACATTTCAAAATGGCTGATGACCAGGTCCCTTTAGAGAGCATTTCGTCCATTTGAAGCAGCTCCCCATGACACATATCTGGCACAGGAAGTTCTACTCTTTGGGGACAAAATGGGTTGTGTGCACCTCGCCTCATGAAGTTTACATCTGCACGTATTGCTAAGTGCACGGGCTTTAGAAATAGCCACTGGTCAGAAAAAGAATGCCCAAGACAGTGATTTGACTGTGTGTGAACCGCCATCCACACTGTGTTTTCTATGCTTGCATGACCCCACATCTGAAGTTAATCTTAGAAGAGGAAGTTTGTTTGCAACCACGGAGAAAGGAGACTTGGTCAAAAAATAATTTCGGATGCTTTCGTGCAACACCTTCAAGAGTGCTTAAAAAAATGTGCTGGACTATAGTTATGCCGGGGGATGGTGATGATGATCATATATAAATTTTCATGGCATAAGGGCCATGCTTGGCCAAAGAGAGCCATGAACAATGATGAGATGATATTATTTGTGGTGATATGTACAGGATATGAATGAACTATCACACTGTTACGTGGCTGTAAAGGGGCTTCAAATTTCGTGCCATGGGGCAGATTAAAACAAAAGAATTAAAATCATGGCAGTGACAAGAAATGTCAACAGCAAAAATAAAAGGCATGTTTTCGAGGAAGTGAAACTAGAGTGCGGAGATATGGGATTGGCACGAATACCTTGTCCATGCATACCCTTGAGCCCTAAGGCCGTGAAGCAGGTGCTCTTATGAACCCGCTATGCTATGTGCAGTGCTCCCCCACTTCCTGGCTGGCCTTCTTCCATGAGACACTATATGCGTCCATCAGAGACGCTGAACGCGTCTCAATGGCAGTGGTGCACCCTCCTCCGTGAGCGTCTTGGCGCCAATAAACACATGCACAGCGCATCTGACGTCGGCTGCTTCTTCGCCCACGTTTTTTACATACATTATAATACAATCGTATCGTTTCCTTCTGGCTGCCTTTTGCCTTGCCACTGCCTGGA